CCCTCCCCTGCGGTCAGGCGAGCTGCTCTGCTGGCTCTTCCCACCCTTGCATCCTTGTGATGGGGTCTGCCTGGCACCAGGTGCCAGGCAGTGCTGGGGCACTCCTGGTTGTTTTGGGGTGTTACTGCAGTGCTTTCCCCCTCGGCAGCCTGGGCTCAGGGTTCAGCCCCAGCCATGCTGCTGCTCCTGCTGCTCCTGGAGGCCACCCTGCTGCGGCTGGCCAGCGGTTCCCACCACCCCTTCTACAATGGCTTCTACTACAACCACGTCATGAACGACAAGGGCAGCGAGCAGGGCAAAGGTATATTGGGGACTGGCAGGGCTGGCAGGTTGGTGCAAGGGGCTGAAGTCTACCCCCTGCCTCTGAATGAGGCTGGGATCCATCTCTTGGGGGGGTTGTGGGGCCCAGAGGAGCAGGTGGGGATGCTCGGGGGGATGCTCATGGAGTGCTCAGGCAGAAGAGGAGGTGGCTAGAGGGAGGGAGCGGAGCAGTTGCAGGGAGTTTTGGGTCTGCTGCCTAGCCCTGGATCCCGACCTGCCCATCACACCTTCCTTCCCTCTCCCCAGTGGTTTACTTCAACGGAGGCAGACTGGTGGTGGAGACCCCCAAAGATCCCATCTACTACTAACGTCACCCTGCCCTGCCACTACCGCTATGAGCCCGATGTGGAAGCCAAGCACAAGATCCGCATCAAGTGGTCCAAGCTGCGGGATGACTACACCAAGGAGCAGGATGTGCTGGTGGCCATCGGCAAGATAGCCATGGCCTTTGGGGACTTCCAGGGCCGCGCTCACCTCCACCAGAGCGGCCGGCACGAGGCCTCGCTGGTCGTCAGTGATGTGCGCTTGCAGGATGATGGCAAATACCGCTGCGAGGTCATCGATGGGCTGGAGGATGAGAGTGATGTGGTGGACCTCCGGCTGCAAGGTGGGGACACGATGGGGACTGCATGACCCCCCTGTGCTGTGCCCGTGAGCCTGGCCTTCCCATGGTACACCCTGCTTGGGGGAGGTAGCAAGGCAGGGGAGTCAGGGAGCCCAATTGTGGGCATAAAGGAGCTGGGGTTCTTGGTATGACAGGGTGGTGGCTTGGGGCTGTCTGGGGGATCTCAGAAGCGGGTGAGTCCAGAGCAGTCTGCCCAGCTGGGATGCTGGGGGTGCTACTGTGGAGTCAGAGTTGGGGGTGACCCTGTGGCCGCAGCATTTCCTGCCTTTACCCACCCATCTTCCCACTGTGATGCATCATTTGCAGCCGCCCCCTCGCCTCCCAGCTCTGGGTGTCCATATGCATCTTGTGCTGAACCTTGGTGATTGGTCCAATCCCTCTTGCTCACTTGCCACGAGGGACCTGACTCAGCCTTGGCTCCACTGCCAATCTCAGAGCTGTGGAAATGTCCCCCTTGCTGTGGCCCTGCCCACCCCCTTGGCCCCCAGACCCTGCCTCCCACAGTTGCTTCTCCCCACTGGTCCTGGTGACTGTGGTCCATGGTGGTGGTACACATGCTCCTGTGGTCCCTCCATCCGCATGACAGTGCTCCATCCATCGCCATGGTAGTGGTCCATGTGTCCCTGGGATTGTGGCCCATACGTCCCTGTGATGTTTGTCCTTGTGTCCCTCTTCCCTCATCCATAGGGATGCCTGTGCCTCCCCATGACGATGGTCTGTCCATCCCCACGGGGGTGGTCCATGCCTCCCTGGGACCACCATCCATGTGTCCCCAGGACCGTGGTGGAGACGACCCTGTGGTGGTGGTCCCTGCATCCCTATTACCACAGTCTGTGCGTCCCTGTATGTGGAGGTGCTGTCCCCACGAGGGTGGTCCGTGTGTCCTCAGGACCAAGCCCCTCTGTGCCTGGGCCACCAGATGTCGCTGGCAACTCGCCGCTGGCACCTGCGTGCCGGGAACAGCCCCATCCCTGCAGGCCTGAGCCTTGGGCTGTGTCACCCTGGGGTGCTCCCTGTTCCGGAGTCTGAATGTGGGATGGGTTGGGGACCCCTGAAGCTCCTGCCAGGGCTGGACTTGGGGTGGGTGGGCTTCCCGTGGAGCTGGCTGAGTGCCCCGTCTGCCCCCAGGCATCGTGTTCCCCTACCAGCCTCCCCGTGGGCAGTACAGGCTCAACTTCCACGAAGCCGAACGAACGTGCCAGGAGCAAGGTGCCATCCTCGCCACCTTCAACCAGCTCTTCCAGGCCTGGAGCGAGGGGCTGGACTGGTGCAACGCAGGCTGGCTGGCCGATGGCACCGTGCAGTACCCCATCCGCCTGCCCCGCAAGCCCTGCGGTGGGCTGCACCTCGCCCCGGGCATCCGCAGCTATGGTCCACGCCACCGGCACCTGCACCGCTTTGATGCCTTCTGCTTCTCCTCCGCACTCAAAGGTGAGTGCTGGGCCAGGGGTTGGGGGGTGGGATCCTGGGGAAGATGCTGTGCCTCCTTGGTGGCATCCCTCCCCCTTAGGGCACAGGACTCAGCCTGGGTGGGGATGCTCCAGGGAGGGATGCTCCAGGCAGGGATTCTGCAGATGAGGATGCTCCAGGTGATGCTCAGCACTGATGCTCCCCTTTCACACTTCCCTCTTCCCTCCTAGGGGAGGTTTTCTACCTGGACCACCTGGCCGGGATGACACTGGAGGAGGCCAAGCAGAGCTGCCAGGATGCGGGGGCTGAGATCGCCCGGGTGGGGCAGCTCTACTCCGCCTGGA